CGCCCGTAATTTTGGGACACCCTGTATATCGGCGTTCCATCGCAAATCATTGTATAGGCCACACGCGCATTTAATACCCCACTACGATTTGAATGGAAGGCGAATGCGTAATTCACCTCCCAAGCGGGACGATCGACGAGCAAAGACTTTATCCTTTCCCATCACAGCAGTCGCATTTGGCATTTGCATCTACCTCTGTTTAACCATTGCTAATTCAATGAATTGAAGAATAGCTGTGAAGTTAAGTTTTCGTTTCCCTCACCTTATATCCGGAGCGAATTAGACTACAGTGCACAGTTACAGAATGGTTCCAAAAGATTGGCCAGGGTTCCACGTTGGGATTCACGGAATGGGATGGATTGGGCAAGGTGAAGGGCTGCCCGATTTCATTACGTCGAGCCAACAAAAGCCATGGTAGCTCGCAATTCGAAAAGCCCCCTTATTTGCGATGGACATGGGAGTCATCTGGTGTACAGTTCCATAATATAATAGATTACATCATCTTCAATCGGAGATTTTGCCTAGGCGACTTCGCTGTTATTCTGAAGTTCTACACGGAATCGGACCATCGCCTCCTTCGCGCTTGATTTCGCTTCTCAGTGCATAAGGAGAAAGCCATAGAAGTTTGGGAAAGGAAGTCCCAAGAACTCCATGAACTGGGTCCACTTCGATTCCCTTGTGAGTGGATAGGAAGATTCCGTTATCGACAACATCTACGAAGAATACAACCGGCTCGGAGAACATTTTCACGATAGTGCTGGAAGGCAGGGAGTCTACAATTAGCCAAAAGACGACCCTTTTCGAAGACACTCGAGCTGATACGCCAGCATGAAATCGCGCGAGCTGCAGGCAATAACCAACTAATGTCCGAATTTACAAAGCTATGCAGAGAAGCGATGCTGAAGATCCGAAAGAGAGAAGAGCACCAGTTATGGACGAAGCCGCCGAGTCTGGAAAGAGCATTCGCAAAGTCTGACGGAGCTTTGCCAATTAAAAGACCAAGATGACTTACTGCATCTTGATGGACGATGGAGAAGGCAACTACGACTTCTGCTTAGATCTATTCGACAGCTACGTCTACCTGCCTATCTACCATCTTAGGCAAAACGAAGATATCATCGCTCCTTCGCTTTTCCCTACCGAAATTTGACATGCAATCACGTCGATGAAGAACTGTACGGTGCCCGGTTCAGATAGGATCAAACAGAACATTTGAAAAGTCTTACACGAGTTATCGTCGGAACTCTGGCTAGGCTCACGCGGTACCTGCCGGAATGCCAGGTGTCAAGGCCATGGAAAACTGGCAAGGCTGTGTTGCTGTATAAAAAGGGAAATCCAGACGATATTGGCAATTCTCGCCCATCTTGCCTGCTGTCTGTAATCTACAGGCTTTTCAGACTCCTCATCCTGAACAGGATTGGCAGAATATTAGATGAAAGACAGCCATACCAGCAGGCAGGGTTTCGGAAGGGGTTCGGTAGAATCGATCACGACTTACATGACTCGTTGGAGTACCTCGAGAGTACGAACTGCCGTTATGTCTTATTTTCATCGGTTTGAACAAAGCTTTTGATACCGTCGATAATTGATAATTGAAGCCCTGGGCAATATAAGTGTTCCTATTCAATACATAAGGATCCTTCGTGAGCTTTATGACAGATTCACGACCAGGATTTATCCACTCTGCAAGGAAATCAAGATCAACGTGAAGAGGGAGGCCCGACAGGGCGATTCCATTTCGTCCAAACTTTTCAGTCCCGCCCTCAAGAGTATAATGCGTCATATGGAAATGGGCAGACATGAGAGTGAAGGTGGACGGCGGGTATTTACATCAACTGCGCTTTGCGACGACATCGTACTTATAACACCGAACAAGCGGAACGAGGAAACAGGCGGAACGAATGCTGGCCGTGTTTGACAGTACTTGTGGAAAGATTGGCCAACAAAAGAGATTGGTCACCGATCCTAACGAGGGCGATGTTTATGAGAAATGGAATGATTCTTGATGCTCTTTTTACGTTGAACGGAACGAATATCTCTGAGTGCTTCAGCTGTGTGTATCTAGGTCGAGAAGTCAACGTGATGAACGACCTAGCTCGGAGCTGAGCAGAAGGAAACGCGCTGCGTGGGGAGCATTCCAGAATGTCGAGGGAGTAGTGAAGAAGACAAGAACATCTGGCTCCGTGCTAACCTCCTCGAGGGAGACGGGCAGTAGGAACCGTTTTGTGTAGTTGTTTCGCCGCACGCGGCTGTCGGACCATCCGCTTCTTCGTTATTACAGCTCTGGCGTTTTTTATACAGCTCAATCGATATGCGGTCATCATTCTAGGCATGGTTCTACCGTTAGTGCCTTTGTTCTATACTTTTTACCTGCTGCTGCATTCTGCTACATTCCTTCGCGCGCGGCTTCCCTCTCGCCACGACGCGACAATATTGATCCTAGTGCGCCGCAGTCCCTTTTCGACCCTGTTGCCCTTCCAGCTTTGACGTACGCCTCAGAGACTAGGACTCTACGAAAGCAGAATGAACATGCTGTCAGCGTTACTGAACGCGCTTTAGAAAGGACGACGCTCGGAGTTTCCCTAGGTGTTGGGTCGTGGGGAACAGAGGTGACAAACAGGAGGTGCAGTAGCAATGGACGGCGAGCTTGATGCTCGGGCGGAGACGCTGTCAACTGTACCCCTAGAGAAGCTGGTGGCGAGGTGGCGAGCCTTAAATACGCGTGATGAGTCATGGATACAGTGCCCTTTGAGCCACTTTTCCCCTCATTCGAGATGGTCAGACCTCTTCACGGAAGCTCTGAACGAAAGTGGTGCTTGGCCTTGCAAATGGGCTAAAATGCTATGGGCCTGCTGTGGGGCATAAAAATGAAAAATTTCTAGGATATGGATAGGATGGCCATTACAGAAACATTCATGGTGAAGCAGAAATATCTTGCGACAACGACAAACGTTTATATATTAGCCCGTCTTTGTCCATCAAATCGATTAGAACACAAGACTTAGAGACTCTGAGCTAGTACTATCTTCAAAAATGCATTTCAATAACAGCCAGCTTGAAAAACATGGAAAGATGTAGAACGAATGAAATTCTGATATATACAACATTTACTAGATCACAAAACGTGGAACATCTGTATTATGACAAGTTCGCAATATGTTCAATTGAAATGCAACCTGAACTTCCTCTGCTCCTAGGAATATCGCAGCATAATTATCACCACTGAACTCTTTTATAATGGACAACTTTGAAGGCTACAGAGTGCTGATATTCGATTTCATATTTAACATGAGTTGGAGAATAGGAGTTAGGAATAAATGTTCCACTGAGTTAACCCGTAAAGAGTGCAAGTCGCGAGAAGGTTTTTGAACGAAATCTAGAAATCTACTAATACATATGAAAAGTAGCCCACAAAATGCAAAGAGAGTTTTCAAGTAGTAACTTTCTGAACTCACAACCAGAAAAAAAACGGGGAAGAGCATGATGCCGAATGAGGCTCCGACAAGCAGCGTAAGGCTCATTACGGTTCAATACGAATGAGGACACCTCCATGATAAGAGGCCAGCTTCGAAATTTCACACTGAACCATATCCCTAGTTGAGATAGTAGAGCTCAGGATGAATCAAGGCAACACCACTAAAATGCGCGGTATACATACCTATTTAGGCAAGGCTAACACGGGCTGCTGAAGCATGTTACTATGCGCAGCAACTTCTTCCCCACTAATTTTGCTTTGGATGATTCATATATACAATATATATATATATATATATATATATATATATATATTGTATATATGAATCATCCAAAGCAAAATTAGTGGGGAAGAAGTTGCTGCGCATAGTAACATGCTTNAAGCATGTTACTATGCGCAGCAACTTCTTCCCCACTAATTTTGCTTTGGATGATTCATATATACAATATATATATATATATATATATATATATATAGCGCTAAGAAGTATTCGACCGAACACTTCATCGACTGTAACTATTTTCTCAGTGGAGCAGATTGCGCGAAATTTTGATATACGCAAAGCAGCAATATCTACATAGCTAAGAGGAAGGTGTTTGCCGCGGAAGTAGACTCCGCTAAAAGCAAGTTAGCGACATCCGCAGTTATTCGCACCTTATGTGCGTTTTCTCCTTCACTGTGTTTAACATCAGCGCTCGTACGCTTCAGATATGACGAAAAGAAGAGGTTCCGGAAAGACTACCATTCGAATTTCCAGTTGATTTTGAGTCCAAGTCCTTTGGGATATCCGAACTGGTCAGAATTCAGGTTGACAGTGGTAAATTTTGAAACTACACCCATGCTACACATATTGAAATTTCACGTGATCAGACCGAGTAGGACATTAGTCACGACTGAAAAGTGCCACTGAAGAAGCATTCGGCCGAATACTTCTGAGCGCTACTGTATTTATATACATATATATAGTTTTTGTATTGGTGAATATCACCAATTCATTGCTGCGTTTAAAACGCTTCGCTACGTATGGATCTGCGAATTACGCATTAGCCGTGCGCGTACAAGGATGTCAAAAAAGCCTCCTGAGTGAGGAGGCTCGGGTCTTTTTTCGCTTGTCTTATGCGATCTCTAACTTTAGAAAAACTCGTAGAGCCCATCAGCAACAAGGTATCAATTAAAGTAGATGCAGCTGTGAAAAAGTAAAAAGGGGACCCTCGAGTTGCTACGTGCTTAAGCCCCTTCTCATATATCGGGAATGAAATTCCACAAAAATTGCCAGAGCCTCATTATTTACCAATCTACGATGGATATTCCTATTTACGACCCAACCTGCAATAAAGCAATTTTATACAAGCACCATTTGGTTAAGACAGCAGTCATGTAAATTTCTCTTGAACAAGAAGAACACTATACATAGAGTGACATCCATTTTAGCCATTTCCACCACTATCACTTTTGCAATGACAGACTCCACAAATGTACTCAGGAAAAGGAGCAGCAATTGAACTTCAACGAGTGCCCTTCAATTTTACGTTTGACTCAGTGATGGATACTTGTGATTGAGAGCTTCTGGGCATAATAACTCGTTGGGATCGATACACAGCTCAGATTTGGACTTTTTACGCGGTAGCGACAGCCCTTTCTTCGTGATCTGAATAGAGTCGTATACACTGCGACTAACTATAGGCAAGTTCTGGGATTGCAATACCTTTATTCTCATATTCGGAACAAGCTGAGGGAGGCCACCCATCGCCAGAGCGTCTCTCTTTTCAGCTACAATTTTCTGACCGAGCAGCTGATTGAAGTGCGTCGTGAGATGCCTTCGTAACAACGTTTTGTGCGGTGGCATTTGCAGAATTTCCGCCAAGGTCTCGGCAGTGAAGGTAGGTTCGTAAACCTGAACAAGTTGCTACTTTGCATGTTGGATAGCATAGAAATAATAATATTCTTATGAGTTATAGCTTTACAGGAAGAACGACTACCAGCTGCAGCTACGTTACCGAGCCCATGAAGACTATGTTTGAATAAAACGTGTAAAGTGGTAAATTGGATACATTCAAAAAATCTCAGAAACTGTCTTCATGTATATAGTCACTCACACACCTAACAGCCTTCCAACGTACACCTCTTAACGACTTTCTAGAAGTTTGAGCGTAGTACGAGAGGAAATATTTGAAAGAAACCGAATACAAGGATGCGAGGCATTCACAAAGAACGTGAGGGTGCTCTCAGATGACAAGAAGCAAAGACGACCCATTTTTCAACTTTACTTTGCAAGCTATTAGATTTTTTTGCATCCTGTGTGCTTTCGCTCATCTCACACCTGCGCTCGTGCAGGAAAACAAAGAATCACGCTCTTTATAAATTTACAATCGCAGTTGAAGTTTCCAGTAAGTTACAAAAGTACAGAGAAGTACGAGGAAAAGAATGCTCACCATGAGAGCACCTGGTGTACCGGCGCACAGTAAATTCGGTGTGAATTCGGCAAGGTCGATTTTTCGTAACCATTCACATGTAGCTGCATGGGTCCAATGAACAACAGCTTCAGGTTTTGGATAACTGGTTACGATAGACTGGAATAAAAGTACGTATACTGCACATATCATGTGCATTATAAGTAAATCACATTAATGCATACTTCGTCAAAGGATCGCACCATGAAATCAGTCTTGAATCCAACCATTTTTAGATACTGTACACTCCTACATATGCACAGGAAGTGATGAGCGTTAAGTACCCGCATCTTAAAAAGGTAAAGTAATAAAACCTGTCTACATATACTGGCGTTTTAGGCATGAATCCCCATCCGTCCCTCCCTCACTCAAGAAGAAAGAATGCGTATCCGCGAAGCGCGCTTGGCCAACTTGAGCTTGAATAAGTCTGCTCACCTTTCTAAGCATGTTGACGAGTTTACTCAGATAGATTCTCCTAGTTCAGGGTCTAACGGTAATATCTCGGTAAACGCATAAAATTCCCTCGGCCGTTTGGGATTTTCTTAAGTTGTTTCCATGCCAATATCCGTTCATTGTTGAAAAAACGCAAATGCTTTGACGGCTTACCTTTGTAAGGAAAACTGCGACCTCGCCATTCTTGCTGAAACGTGGTTGAATTCTAAGCACGAGATTGCCTCACTATTAGGTATTGCTGCTTCACATTATACTTGTTTCAGAACTGATAGAAAGTTCAAAAAGGGAGGTGGAGTCGCCATATTAGTAAAACTTCAGCATTCTACTACTGTTGTTCTGAGTGAATCTATTCAAAACTCTTATGAAATTCTGGCTTGTGACATAGCTTTCTACTTTGAGGAAATACGATTAATTGCTGTTTACAGAGCACCTAATTGCTCCTCTTTTTACAGCATTCAGCTTCTTAAGGCTCTTAGTGATCTGTGTTCCTCCAATAAACCCTGTGTTATTGCTGGAGACTTCAATCTCCCGCAAATTAATTGGTTTCCTCGAGTTAAAAGCAACGATTGCCTAGGAACTAAGTACACGGATTGCTTTGCTGCTCATAGTTTTACTCAATTTATCTCATTCCCAACTAGATTTGATTCATTTCTCGATTTATTACTATGCAACAATTCGTCATTACTGCACTCAGTTTCTAAAGTCTCTCCCATTGGAAGCAGTGATCACTCTAGTGTAAGGTTTTTCTTATCACTTACTAGACATTCCCCTGTACATAGGTGGTGTAGAGACTTTAGTAGGGCTAATTTTTGTGCTATGCGTAATTATTTAAGTAATGTCGATTGGTTAGGCTCCTTTAGGTGTGCGAATGGAGTGGATGCTAAATATGAAATGTTTCTCGCGATCATACACCATGCGATGGATCTATTCATACCTTTTTTACCCTCCTATCTTGTATCAACGTGGAACAGAAGGGAACAGCTTTGGAATTCAGCCGTGAATACGCAACAGCCTTCGGAATGGGAAAGATATAACCTATAAGATAAGAAGTACACTAAGAAACTGAGTAAATTCTACGCTTATGTTGAGGCCAGAATGTTGTCCAAGGGTGGGATAAGAGGTCATTATTCAATCCTAAATTCGAGGCTTTCAGATAAGCCACGCATTGCTACTTCATGCAAGGATTCAATAAGGGCAGTAACTGATGAAAACAAAGCTGTGATGTTAGCCGATACTCCTAGTAATGACTGCACTGACCCTGCTCCTTGGTTTAAGGACATATTGCCAGGATTCTGCTTGAGTGGGCTTCATCAGTCTCAAATAACCCTGATGGACTACCATACTTAGTTATCAAGCAATGCATTCATGCAATACTATTTAATCTTAGTTTCATGAACAGTGAAGTGCCTCGCAGATGGAAACATGCTATTGTCATTCCGCTGCCCAAAAAAGACCCACTGTCTGATTCTGGAAACTATAGGCCTATAAGCTTGACCTCTATTTTTGCCGGAGTTTTAAAAAAATTCTCAGGAAATACATGGTTTCTCATATTGATAAGTTTGGAATAATTCCAAATTCCCTTCATGGTTTTTGTGAAGGTAGATCTATTGAGACTTCTTTACTGTATTGTTTCAGTGACTGGACAACCTCTTTGGATCGGGGCAAAAGCGTGATGTGGTTTATTTTGATTTCCAAAAAGCATTTGACAAGGTTTCCCATGAGTTAGTGATTCAAAAGCTGGAACATCTTGGTTTCCATCCTCTGATGAGGAATTGGATAAAAGAGTTTCTGTATAATAGAACATTTCAAGTTTTAGTGAAGGACTCTCTAATCAGTTCGTA